TTTTTTTTTTTTCGAAAATAGACAAAGCCTTCAGTCTCCATGAAGCCTTTCACTCTATTTGCTGGAGACAGACAACAAATAAAAACATCATTGGAGTGGACTGTAACTTATGTTAGATAATTGTGTAAATGATGAAGGAAAACAGGACAGAAAAGTAAAAGGCTCTCAGGTGGTGGGCAACTTGGGCGTCCCTTGGGAATGGTGTGGGAATACCTCATTGAGAAAGTCACTTGGGCCAGAGTCTTGAAGAAAGAGAGGAAGAAAGCTATGGAGCACTTGGGGAAGAGATTTTCAGGTAAAGGAAAACCAGCACAAATGTGCTGAGACACATGCAGGAGAGGTAGGGAGCCAGTATGACTGAGGCAGGAGAGGGCAGAAGGAAGTAATGGGGGCAGGGATGGGGTAGGTGGGTGGGGGATGGGCAGGGCAGGGCAGGATTTGAAGAGAAGTGGCAGCTGTTGAAGGTCCTAACTGAAGAGATCATGAGCCATGAACTTTGGGAATGGCTGAGAAAAATGCCAAGGAAGGGATGTGTGGGAAGCAGGAGATTGGCGATGGTGCTACCATCAGCCAAGTCAGAGCTGACAGTGGCTCCAACCAGGCATCAGAGGACTGTCAAGTAGCTGGATTCCTGAGATGTTTGGAGTCAGTTCATTAGAGTTCAGATAGCTTAAACTTGAGTAAGAGAAAACCAGGAGGCAAAGCAGACCTCAACTTTTAGGGTCATAGTCACTAGACATGTAGCACTAAAATGACTCAAGGTATTATCATAAATTGTATTCTAGTGCAGAGTATTTGAAGATTAAACACATTCCCCTAAATGAATCCAAAAGTATGAAAGAGTAGTGGGTACTTAAATCCCTTAGTCTGCCATCACAGGTCTTATACCTTCAGCCCTGGTATCCAACCACCCATCTATCCCCTCTTTCATTCCATTTATCAACTCTATCTCATAGAGCAAGAGCTGCCTGTCTCTTGAAGTCTACGTAGAATTGATTCTAACACCCCTGTTCCATGATGAGTGAAAGTTCACAGCGCCCACCCTGCCCCAGGCATGTTCACCAAGTACGAGAGCACACGTACCCTCTGGTCTCCTCTGTACTCTAGACACCCTCTGTCTCCCTTGATGCTCCATTTGGTCCTCACACTGAACATTATGGTCTGCTGGGGCCTCTGGTAACCTGGAAACACTATACCCTTTCCACCCTTTTCCATCATCTTTTCCAGTGGAAATTTCGATTATTGTGTTTTGTGTTTCAGGATGTTTGTGCTTTATGCTCGATCTCAGTTCACAGGATTGGACCATGAAGATGCTATCTGTTCCTTTGAAAATGCTGAGAGGTGCTAGGCCAGGCTTTCTAGGGCTGCACGGCTAGGCATCAGCTGAAGATGGGGAAAAGCTGAGGAGATTCACCCCTCTGCTGCGGTCACCTGTGCTTCCGCCATGCCTCTGTTAGAGGCACTCTAGTTTAAGGACATTCTTCTCTTAAAATTGAATTTTATCAACACATAATAACTATATGTAATAATAGGTTGAATTATGACACTTGTACCCAGGTACAGGATGCATTTTGACCCTGCTCATCCTGCCCGTTTCTGAACACCTCCCATTCTTGGTGATCTACCTCCTCCTTCCAACCAAGTCCCCCATTCATTTCATGTCTGTCTGTCTGTCTGTCTGTCTGTCTGTCTGTCTGTCTGTCTGTCTGTCTGTCTGTCTCTTAGACCCAATGAGTCTAGCCAGAGCTGCCCAAAGGAGCATGGGAAGGTTGTGGCTCAGCAAAACAGACAGGTGAGAGTGAATATCACACTTGCTGTCATCCATTTCCAACACATCACTCAGAGGAACTCTTAGAAAACTTTAAGTAGGGTATTGGTCACCCAGCGACAACCATTTGGTGGCTTCCAATCCTACACAGAGTGAAACACATCACTCTACAAAGTTCTGCATGATGTCCCCTCCTCATTCCATATGACATCCCATGGCTCTCCTCCCCCCTCCCCTCCTGCCCTGCCTTTTCCTTGTCACCCTGGAATGTGCCAAGCATGTTACAATCATATGTACACTGGCTCCTGTCTCCCCTGTGAAATCCTCTTCCCAGACAGCTGCACAGTGAGCCCTTTCTCTTCCTTTCAGTTCTCATTCAAATAAGTTTCCTCTAAGAACACTCTCAGTGTAAAAATTAGCCACATTAAGTTTCAATACTTGCGTCATCAATGGTTTGATGTTTGACATGGTGTAAAGGAAAGGATGTATCTAAAGGCCTTTACCACAAACCAGAGTGCATGGTTGTCTTGAAGGAACAGTATTGGTGTGATTATTGGAGCTGCAAGCTCAGACAATCTATTTCTGTAAGGAAAGAAGAAATGACTATTTGTCCATTTGGACCATAAGCAAAATACCATAAACTGGACAGTTTATAAACAACAATAAACATAATATTTTCCATTTCTCAGTTTTGGAGACTGGAAGCCTCAGTTCAAAGCTGCTGCAGGTTCTGTGTCTGGTGACACCCATTTGCTTCTTCCTCCACGGTGGGAAGAGAGCAGGTGATGCTCTTGGGACTGTATGGTAAGGACACTATGCCATTCCTGAGGGCTCTGCCTTCATGTTCTCACCACCTCCAGAGGTCCCACTTCTAATATCACACGTGTTTAGGTTCCAGTGTTTGGGCTTTTGGGGGACACAGGCATTCAGACTACTGACTAAGAAGTGATGGTTATTCAGGTTTGAATATTTAGTGGGCAGTCTTTTAGAATATGAATGAAATGAGATTGTCATTTCAAGGAAAAACAGCAAACAGCATTTGCCAAATAATAGGATTTGAGTTTTCAAGTGAAAATTAGAATTTCTGAAAACTTATACTTACCTCGATGAGTTTGACAACTTTTTAATACTTGAAGACATTTTGATATGTAATCAGTGTTATCCTGCTATGTGTGTATATATATGTATGTATAGTCATATAATTTAATGATATGTATGTCTGGCATCTAAGGAAACCATTGCCTAGATCTTTATAGTAGTTATTTTACATTCCCACAGTTACCTATTATTATATATTAATGTACTTCTATGAATCTGCCACATAGGTCTTTATAGTAGTTATATTATCTAACATTCCCATAGGCATACATTAGATATTCATGTACTTCTATGTTCTACACATATATAATGAAATGCTATTGCATTTAGAAGAGCCACACAACTCAGTGAATCAATCTTTTCCAAATCACACCATTAAAAAAGTCATACAGGCAAAATAATCTGTTACACAATGAAGTGATGGAGTTGAACACATCAGTATCAAAAGCATAATAATTTGGTCTCAGATTCAAACTGTAACTTTAATAAACTACCACTTGTCAAGTTTTGATGTGGTAGCAGACACATCTACAAAGATCTGAAGACTATTGAGCTAGTCTTCCCTTTTCTACCAAGGTACTTATTGGAGGGCAGGTTCTCTTTATATTCTTAAGCGAAAACAGCATAAGACAGCACTTGAATGTGGGAGACAGGAATGAGCATCCAGCTGTCTTTCATTAACTGTGGCACAAAACAGATGTTCAGTAATGTCAAGTAATGACACTTGTCTCACTAATTTGTTTCAGAAAATATAGTTATTTCTTTAAATGCCCTTATTACATTGTAATTGAAATACAATAAACCACATGCTTAAGGTGTATGATTTGATAAATTTTGACATGTGAATACATCTCTGAAAGCTTGACTTTAGTGAGGTTCATGAATATGTCCACCTTCCCTGCACACAAAGCTTCCTTGTTCTTTTTTTATCCTACCTCTCTCTTCTGCACTCTCTGGTTTTTAGGTGTCATGTATAGATGTTACCTTCCCTGCACACAAAGCTTCCTTGTTCTTTTTTTATCCTACCTTGTCCCGCGCCCGCTCTGTATTCCTCGCCAGCAAGAAATACACGCAGGACACTCGGATCCTTCTGCAGACAAGCTTTAATGCATTTTACCAGAGTGGAGACTGAACAGAGACTGAGCAGAGACATTGAACTAAGAAAACCATCCCTTATAAAAGGCTGACCAGCCGCCTGGGACGTATTACCCTATGAATGGCTTTAGCTCCTCAGGCTAAAATGAGCCACGGGATAGGCAGAGATCAAAGGAATGGAGATTACCCAGCGCCTGTGAAGTAATTCACACCTTGGTGTCTTCAGGCAGCATTATAATGCAGGAACCGGCTTCCTACATATCACCCTTTTTTTATTAATTAATGAAAAGGCTTTATATTATTACAAGCAAATAGGTCACCCATATGTTGAGGGATAGAGGTAGAGGTTGACCTTCCCAAAATCAAACATTAAGACTGTGTACGAGAGTCACCATCAGGCTGTCAGTTTGACCCGAAGTACTCCCGACCTGTCCTCTGCCGTTTTTCTGGGAAAGGGAAATTCTCAAGGCAGGTAACCCTTATGCAGGTCAACGTACCTCCCAGAGAAGCCTGTATAATAGGCAACTCTGTGCGATGCCT